TACTTATGTGAGACATATTAACGTATGCTTGGATTTGTAACTGACAAAGTCCGATAATCAACACCGAAGGTCTAGTTAATATATTACTAAATATCACTGTGTACGAGCGCTTAAGGAGTATAAGATGAAGAAATCCTAAAGAAATTTGATTATACATTGTCCACACTATTGATAGTTTTTTGTGGGACTCGAGTACAGTTAAGTAGGTAAAGCGCAGAACAAAAAACAGACGTTGCTATGTTTGAAGAGACTGTGATATCACCTAAAAAACGGTGAAGGAACGAAGGTCTGCATCACAATAACAAGATAAGCTAAATTGTTCCGATGTACTCTAGCCCTGGTAACTAGAGGGAGAAAACCGGATTCGGAAGAGAAAAAAGTATATTCCACAAGCAGCCAGAAGCATGGACAAATCAAGCACACAACTCAAGCATATATATATAGTATAGAGAGGTCCTTGGGAAACGTCACAAAATAGCGTATTAAGAGGCAACGAACCAATGACATTTATTGTCCTTTTGGCACGAAAACGAGAAATTCAAACCTCCAAAATTATAAAAACAAGATGTTTACCAAGAGATTTATGGGGATCTAGCATCTCCAACAAGCATAGCAGAAAAGCAAAATTATATACTCACTTTTTAATACTGAATGATAGAGTTACACTTGGAGCAGTCTCAGATCAACACAAAACGTCAGTATAAAAGGTTTAATAGACATGTAGGATACTCATACTTTAAGGTGGCGTGAATCAATACTAATCAATCACTCATTAGGACCTGAAAACATTTCCAGAACTAATATACACTTTTATGATAACCTTAATAGATCGAACTCACATATGTTATAAACTATCCAGTGAACCATTCAGTATGAACATTTCTAATTGTTTAATTCAATATGACTTATCTTTCAGAGTTATACATATTAGAAATTCTAGATAAGTGATAGTGTAATGAACGAGAACACAAATGAGGACAATCGAATGTATTTGAACACAAAATTACAGATTTATTTAGTAAAATCTGAGAATGATACAGTAAATACTTCATTTGCAAAATGTCAATCAATCGTCTCAGAATTCATTGTTCTTTCGTTTCCACACCAGTGATGCTTTGTTTGTGTTCTTTTTTCTTTGATCTTCTTAACTTTCTGCTACTAGGCATTTTACATTCGATACATACTACATATATCTGTTGACATCAGTAGAATAAACCACAATAGTCAGTCAGCAACAACGTAGAACTTTGTATGTACATACATCAGTTCGAGTTGCCATACCACATTAACACAGAGATACCATTGTCTATTCAAATCCCATAGTGATAGAGGTAGTAAAAGTAAAAAAATTCAAAAGATTAGAATTCGGGAAAAAACAAAGAGTGGATCCACCTGCATTATTACAAACAATTTTGATCCACGTCATTCAAGGTCTATAACTATCGGTTGCTATCGTCTTGTGAATCCCAACCAGGTAGTAATTCTTCACAGAATATAAATATACCAACAAATAATTCATGGAAAATATGTTGTATTCTAATTTCAAATAAAATCATACAGAATTTGGATTTTTTTATAAGATGAATCTTTCGAAGAAGAAGAAGAAGAAAAAAAAAAAAAGAGAACATACATGGATTTTAATGAATTCAATAATTGATCAATGCAGGATGATCCGGTAAATGTGTGCGTACTATACTTTTAACTAAATTGAAATATGGTGAATCTTTTGTTTTAATTAGTTCAAATAACAATGATTCAGTTGTTGATAGTATTATACCAGTAGAATTTAAACGCTATTAAATAAAGAAATAGATTGAGAATAGAAAAATTTTATTACAACAGCTGAAAGGGATTTGTAATGATTGATTTAATTTGTAAGTTTGTATTTAATACAAACTGATCCCAATTGAGGTTTTTAAAAAAAAATAAACAAGAGAGTAATGGATAGCTACTTTATTCCGGATATAGTCAATTTCCATGTTGGGAGCGAAAATGTTATTACCAATGATATTAAATGATTATCGGACTATATCGCTAATTGATGCTGAAACTGTATCACTTGAATGCTAGCTATCCCAGTGGTTCGTTACAATTACCGAAAGTTTCGTGTCATATCCCTGTTGAAGTTGTAGGCATAGATTGCTGAGAAGTCCTACAGTAGGATGAAATAACTGCGCAGCCTTCCCTAGTTTTCAAAGGTACTCCAACTGAGATCGATATTTGATGAAAACAATGTATAATTCTAGTCCATTTTGAACAATCTCATATATCCGCAAATATGTATATATTTACAGTCTAAACAATCACGACAATATACCATTCAGATTCTGTAAATCAGTCACATTAACTTAACGAATTAGTTGATGATTAACCAAAAGGTCAACACAATTTTAATTTAAGCCACAAGTTTGGTTTTTAATCAAATTAGTTAATCAACCCTATTTATTTTTATTTAAACACAAACATTCGTACAAGGTCAAAGTGAGAATCTTCAATACGAACGTCAAGGCAGTTCTACTGTATGGAGCTGAAACTTGGAGAACTACAACAACCACCATCAAGAAGGTACAAGTATTTATAAATAGCTGCCTACGCAAGATACTCAACATCCACTGGCCGGATACCATCAGCAATAGCCTTCTGTGGGAGAGAACAAACCAACTTCCAGCTGAAGAAGAAATTAGGAAAAGACGATGGAAATGGATAGGACATACATTACGCAAACCGTCAAACTGCATCACGAGGCAAGCCCTAACTTGGAACCCTGAAGGGAGGCGAAAAAGAGGAAGGCCAAAGAACACATTGCGTCGGATAATAGAAGCAGATATGAAAAGGATGAATTACAACTGGACGGAGCTAGAGAGGATTGCCCAGGACAGGGTTGGATGGAGAATGCTGGTGAGTGGCCTATGCTCCTTCACGAGGAGTAACAGGCGTAAGTAAGTAAGTAAGTAAGTAATTCGTACAAGGAGGCACCAAATACATATGCACCACACAAGTCACTTGGTTTGTGTGAGAGCTGGGATACTGTCCGGGAGCCCAAACCGAGGCAGGTGGTTTTATTAGGAGGCCACATCCGAAACCTTTGACCTAAAGGTCTAGTTCACAAGGCAGTGGAGCAACGTCAGGAGATGCAGTCCCATGGTAACCAGTGACCAACGATTGGTCCATACGCCATTTGTTCCTTCAGGATCCTGAAGCACATGTATACCGTTGGTTTAGGATTAGGACTTTCCAATTGCTTTAGGTGGATCCTCCGTATCTACTAACCCGGTTAAAGCGCCAGATATTCGCTTTTCGTCCTCTCAATTTCGTAAACAACACCCGCGTCATGAGAAGGCAGTGAATAGGACTTCCCTGGCAGTGGTTGTATCCACATAGCTACTTGAGAGCATTTGGAGAGGGAGAGCTGACTCTCCTCACTCTCGGCCGTGCCAGAACAAACTGTTCGCGAAAAACACTGAATATAAAATTCAATTATTTCCTACAATTTAGCCCCTCACACCATAACTTGACAATAATACGATATAAGTTTTATAATCGGTATTAAACCAATGCCACACAAATAATAATAACTTACTATAGGGTATAGTGCAGATTATTAAATTTAAAGTTTCAAATCACAAATCAACTTTGGTTAGACAACCAATTAAAATCAGGAAACACTAGACAACTGTCTCGTCCTAGTATGGAACGACCCTGCCACGGATGGTACCAAAGACTTTCAAGCATTCTGTTGAGAGCTTAAACTTCCAACCACTGAGTTACCATTTATATTTTTTTGGTACATAAGTTATCTGCAAGTTAGTTTTGCCAGTAATACAAACTTGATGTTAATGAGAAACAGTTTTAGCTTAGGAAGGACAGGAGGTTTGGTGACCTGTGTTAGTTCTAGCGGAGGATCTCACAGTTGATTCGAATCTCTTTTGAATGCATCGAAACATAGAGCTCCGACCACATATTCAAGTAAGTAATTTCACATGTTGATGATTCAATGAGAAAATAGATATTTAGCTAATATGTAAATGATTTTAGGCTTGTCCTCGTAAATTCTCCGTTTTTATTTTGAAAGAGAATAAAAATGAATACTATTTCATGCAATTGTTTCCCTTTATGAATTTAAATAGAGCAAGAACAAACATTGATGCAGAATAGTATGAATTCATATTATTTCGAGGTTTCTCGTCAGCTGCTTACAAACCAAAATTGTGATAATTTTACATGGAGATAGTGTGAAACAATTGACATAAATGAGTGTAAATAACTTGATTACAATAATAACTATATATATATATATGCTAGAAACAGGTCAGAGGTCAAAAGAGGGGGGTTAATCCAGGGTGGGTGGTGTAATAATTTAGTGAAGTTCATAAATTGTGTGATAATTGTAGAGATTAATGGAATTAAATAATGGTAAGGTAGATTATGTAATAATAATTAAATAGGGTTTGGAAAGTTAAGATGATTTAAGAGGATCAGGTGATGGAAATGTGTGAATAAAATTTATTTTAAAAAATTAGGTAATAGGGGGTATAAATTATCTCAGAATAAGTAAAGGAATAAAATAACCAAAAACACAAAACAAACAGAAACAAAAAGATTACCAGGGTACTGATAAGTTTATTAAAGTCTCTTTTTGGATGCATAAGTCCGGTTTCAGTTTCTTAATTGCAATGGATTCAGCAAAGCGGATAGTGGTAGTAGTTTTTTGTCTATTGATGATTTTAAACGCGCGCATAATATCGACGGTATGCCCGGTGTCAAGTAGATGCCGAGCTATTGCACTGTTAAAAGCTTTAGTCCCTCGCAGCGTCAAGTTCTTCGGAATATGCTCAGAAATGCGAACCTGTACTCTTCTCTCAGTTCTTCCAATGTATGTGTTACGGCACGTACATGTGAATTGGTAAATGCAGTTGGAGCAACTGAGGGGAGAGGACTTGTCGATTTTCGTTTGTTTCAGTGAGCAGTATGTTTTCCATAACGTAGTTAGTTTGGCTGCCGGGTAGGTCACTTTTAAGGCGGAAGAAGAAATTACTACAATCACCAAATGCTTACGTGAAAATGCATATCCGGATAAATTCATCCACAAATATGCTAATACAAACCCTCCGATTAAGCATGATACAGTTGAAAAGAAAACCTGCTTCCTATCCTTACGCTTTAAAGGAGATGAAGTCGCCGGAATTATCAATCACAGAATTAATTCCGCCTTAAAAGTGACCTACCCGGCAGCCAAACTAACTACGTTATGGAAAACATACTGCTCACTGAAACAAACGAAAATCGACAAGTCCTCTCCCCTCAGTTGCTCCAACTGCATTTACCAATTCACATGTACGTGCCGTAGCACATACATTGGAAGAACTGAGAGAAGAGTACAGGTTCGCATTTCTGAGCATATTCCGAAGAACTTGACGCTGCGAGGGACTAAAGCTTTTAACAGTGCAATAGCTCGGCATCTACTTGACACCGGGCATACCGTCGATATTATGCGCGCGTTTAAAATCATCAATAGACAAAAAACTACTACCACTATCCGCTTTGCTGAATCCATTGCAATTAAGAAACTGAAACCGGACTTATGCATCCAAAAAGAGACTTTAATAAACTTATCACTACCCTGGTAATCTTTTTGTTTCTGTTTGTTTTGTGTTTTTGGTTATTTTATTCCTTTACTTATTCTGAGATAATTTATACCCCCTATTACCTAATTTTTAAAATAAATTTTATTCACACATTTCCATCACCTGATCCTCTTAAATCATCTTAACTTTCCAAACCCTATTTAATTATTATTACGTAATCTACCTTATCATTATTTAATTCCATTAATCTCTACAATTATCACACAATTTATGAACTTCACTAAATTATTACACCACCCACCCTGGATTAACCCCCCTCTTTTGACCTCTGACCTGTTTCTAGCATATATATATATATAGTTATTATTGTAATCAAGTTATTTACACTCATTTATGTCAATTGTTTCACACTATCTCCATGTAAAAATCACAATTTTGGTTTGTAAGCAGCTGACGAGAAACCTCGAAATAATATGAATTCATACTATTCTGCATCAATGTTTGTTCTTGCTCTATTTGAATACTATTTACTAACACGTTATTCTTATGCTATATAATAACTCACTTGTAGAGCAATTCTCATATCAACAGCACTTCGAGAACTGCATGCATCGGCTACGATAACAACCTTATAATTTTCAGACAATAAGTGCAGAGCAGTTTGAAGAATACATATATGTGCCTTAGAGAAATAAGAAAAACGTTTGTAGAGTGATGTATATATGAGAAAAACAGAATGTTAAAATCTGACAATTAATGCAAATTGGTGACCACTTAAAAGTTTATTTACTTAGCTTGAAGTTATACATCTTTTTGTATAACAGCTAATGATAATAATTCAGCTATCGGAGTTGAATTACACGAGAAATTTTAACTAGTAATCTTATGAATGAAAGTCGACTAATCGACAGATCTAATGCACTAGAGAGTTGAGCACCGTTATGAGATGCGGTCACATGGTAGTCCGTGATCAACAATAGCTTCATACGCTATTTGTTTCTTTAGGATCCTGGAGCCCATGTGAACCACTGGTCTAGAACCAGGGTTTCCGAACTCCCCTAGGTAGATCCTCTTTATCCACCAACCCGGTTTAAGCATTAGACGTTGGCCTTTCGTCCCATAGATTATGTAAACAACAACCTTGGGCGAGAAGGTAGTAAACAGGACTTCACTGGTAGTGCGTATATGAGAACATTTGGAAAGTGACAGCGAACTCTTCCCACCCTCAGCCACAGCAGGACATTTGAGGGCTAATCACAATGAAGTTGAATTGATCCATTTACTAGATCCTAGAGTAGGAAAGACACTTTAAATGTGATGGCTAACGATACAACCGGAATACCTCACTTAACACTGGTATAAGTATACATTTAACTCAATATTAATAACATTAATTCATGGAACAAACATGTAACACTTACTTCAAGTCCAAATAAAACAATGAAACGATCACGAAACTCAGCTAGTTTCTCAGCGATTAATCCGTGATACATAGAAAAAGAAGTTTTATCAACCACACATAATGCATGTGATATATCGAGAGAATCTGACGTCTTACCTAGACCTTTAGAATACTAGTAGTGAATAAAACAGAAAAGGCAACATGAATATGACTGACAATAAAAAAATCATCAAACCTGTTCGGTAACTAATAATGGAATTCCCAATGCTTTGCCTAATTGTAACTATAATTGAACATATTATTATTTATAATTATAAAAATTAACTTACAATGTGAGATATACGCAAATGAACATTATCCGAGTCGATAACAGTGTTTAATAAGCTTTTTTGTACATCACACATGAGAAATACTGTACAGTTTGGATCTAATGTCAGCATAGAGTTCGACATATTCACAGTTAAATCATCCAACAAGTTATATGAGGAACCTTATCAGAAGAAAAATCAACTAAATTACGATAAAACACTGGAATATAGAATGGTAGATCAATGTTTAAATAATTCAAAGTTTTCACTCAATCTGTACAAATTTGAATAAATATCAGAAATTAATCACTCGTAGATAATGTGAAAATTTTGGACGAATATGCTTTGGCTTAAACTGTTACGTCATACGTCACCAAATCAAGTAATGAAACTTATATTGAGATAATGGAAGACTAATGAAAATAACACCATTGAAGTAACAGTTAAGCCTAACAGTCAGTCAGTCAGTCAGCTACAACGTAGGACCAGGCACATGTATGCATCGGCCCAGGTTGCCATACCTCATTAGCACAGCAAGATGAACACTGGATTCATAGGAGTGGTTAGGTCAAAGGTGGTAATATATAGGAGAAAGATTGCAATAAGGATATAGTATAGGAAGAAAGAATTAGTTCGTAGAAAGAAAGATGTGAAGTGATCTTAATCTCTTAGTTTAAGAGAAGACAGAGAGTGTATACACCGACGCCATTGTGATCGATTCTGAGCCATGTCACCAAGGGTCTCCAACCATTGGTTACGAAAGTCACGCGGACCCCAACCAAGTAGTCTGCATCTACCAACATGGCTCAGACTAGAAGTTAGTGACTTCAGGCACTGATGCCACGTTTTGGTTTGGCCGCCCCTAACTTTCTTCCAACCATCCCCTACACCGGTTAGCATTGCACGTCGCGGTAATCGGTGTTCAGGCATACGTAATACGTGGCCCAACCATCTCAGTCGATGAAGATTCATAACCTCATCAACTGATTTACCATCATTCCCTAATACCCTGCGTCTAACCTCACTATTACTTACCCGGTGATCCCAGCAGATGCCAGCAATATTTCTAAGGCATCTGTGGTCAAATACTAGTAGCTTACGGGTGTCTTCTACTCTTAACGGCCATGTTTCGCTGCCGTAAATTAAAACAGAACGGACAGCCGCGCAGTATACTCGTCCTTTTATTGATAGACGGATATCTCGCCTAACAAAATATGTTTAAAGTTATTTGAATTGCAGCTAACAGTAAAATATTAAATGAGTGACTCCTATTACGTAGGACTGGTTAATTGGTGAAGTACCTTTACCCGAGTTAGTGTTCACAATAGGATCTATCGCTTCAAACGTCAATTTATTATTCACTGAGTTACTGAGTACAAATAACCATTAACTTGCTCAATGCATATGAATAATTGCAATTTTTAAAATCAACGACAGGAGTATACAAATCTTTACAAATAATCAGCATGTGTAGTTGATTATTATGCGATCAGTCATAAAGGTAAGTGATCTTGTGATCACAACTGTCACAAATGTTATTAACAAAACGAACAACAATCTACAGTAAGCAAATCAAAGATTATTAAAAAAAATAATTTTGGTTCAGATAGTAATAGAAAAACACGGTTCGAGAAGATCAAAGAATGAGGTAATACTACAGTTGGAATACAGATAGACATCCACATAGAAAATTAAACTACATGAACAGACTGTAAGTTCCCTAGACAACTATAGATTAACTTTTGAAAAATCATAATCGTTTATCAACCCGCTAGTAAAATCATTATGTCGAAGCAACCATCGGAAATGCATAGCCCCTAGCATTCTATCATCCAGATATTTAAAAACCCTGAACAGACATCATCAGACTATTAGAAGTAACAATATATTTTTAGTATAATAGACAATGATAAAAAGTAGTCCCATTATTTCACTAAACTACCTTCATCTTTACTTTTATGTAAGTGATATTTACAACTTATTAACCTACTTGGCACGTGATTAATTTCAAAATAATCTAGATATCTAACCGTCTATTTGAATAAATGTTCCTTAAATTATTTGTATTTTTTTAAAAGAGAGTGTAAAGTGACTTGCGAGATAATATGTTAATGGGAACAGAACTTCATATAGTTATATATAGTGTGATGTTTATATAAACAAGTCGTTTAATACGTTCGGGAATATCTTGACGACGGAGCATATCTGAACCAAAGATGTATGCTTACGATAGTTTGACTGTGGATGTCAACGAAAACCTTATAATGCATTTTCAGTTATTATTGCAGGGAAAGGACTTCTAGACAATATGGCGACTACTGAGGTGGTTTAGCCTTTCGGTGTTATAAATGCGAACGTCACAAAACAGTACAAATGTGTACTATCGTTAATTGTTCGAGATGAACATTGACGCAAGCAGTGCTGACTGTTGTCAAGCGGATAATGAAAGCACAATTTAAGCATATAGCTGGTTTAAATGAAGTAACGGATGTTTCAGCAGTACAATAGTATTATTACTGCCGAAAGATGTTCTAAGATTATACTGAACTTAAATGTCGTTTGAAGTTGTGAAGAGGGTTGAGTTAGGCACCAAATTTGATACTTAATATCAGGTAGTATGGCCAACCAGGGATGCTGATCTACGCTGATGACAGAACTTACAAGTACCTAAAAAGATTAGGTTATCATTGTCGCTGAAGAGCACAAGCAACAGGGTGCAGATACCACTGCAAGAATCCATGAAAATAACTTTGGGTCTGTGGTGGCACCCGAAAGTTTCTTTGACTACATAAAGTTTCCAGAAGTCAAATGTTGTGGAGTTACATGCACTACTTTTTTTTAGGTTTCTATAAAAAACGCTTCCCGCCCTAATTTACTATTTTCCTCACATTTCCGAGTGACGGATTTATATCCAGTATTATTTCGGAACATATCCCTAGAAAATAATGATACTGCTGAAACACCTGTTAAGTCACCTAAAGCAGTTTTATACTCAAATGACGCTACCACTATTCGCTTGACGAATAAATCCATCTTCACACCTACTTTAATGTTAGCACTCATACGCACTGCGTTGAAACAAATGAAACATGCAGGAGTAGATATGCATTAATGGAAGACGTTCTTAATGTGGTCTAGTTTGATAACCGTACACGTTAGTCGCAACGACGACGTATAACTGAAACCTTAGTATTGTTACTAATTTGTTGATTTCAATCAAACTTTTGTAATTAGGCGTCTTTCGCGCATGAAACGCTTGATTATCATAAACCAGAGGGGAGAATTCTACATCTTTTAAAAGTCGTTTTATCTGATAGACTTTATTAGACGTTAAATAATCGGCATAAACGTAGGTTTTAAGTTAGGAAAAATTTTTATGGACTCATTAAAGCGAAAAATCCCATTATATACATTGTAGGCGGAAAACGAAACATTGATATGCTATGTCATCTACTGAGTTTAAGTTCGCTTGTATTTTCGCATTTTGTTCGCATAGATATGTAAAGAAACGCTGGAGACAGCTAAATGTCTTCGTACGACTAGTCTCTTAGCCCATGGAAAAGTCTCCATGTTGTCCTCCCCCTTCACATTAATCACGTACCCCAGTTCGAATTCACGACGTGACCTTGAGGCAGCAGTCTGGGTTAAAATTAGCTCACCTTAGACGGCACCAGTTTTCCATGAACGAACACTGAAAAACGTTCTAAAATCAGTTTTCTTCATATTATGTTTGGTGAACTGATTGTTCAGAAAAACAATCTTTCCAAGGACGAGCGCTCCATTCAATGTGCGACCTTGAGACCACTTGGCATATTAGATTACCTTCTATTGCCATTGGATTATGATACAGTGTCATCATTACGTTGCTTAATCAAAGAAAATATCAGGAGAGTTCGTTGTCCTGTGATTCTTGGATCACCTTGAGAATATTACATTTCTGAACCTCATTACTTCATTTAGTTCTTTATACATCATTATTACTTTTGATATTAGTTCTGCTGAGTGACACACGAATATTCTCCAGATAAATATCCCACACTTTTCTAAGTCACATATAGGTCTGAGCTCATGATTGGGGTACTTTTACCCAGTGAAAAGACAGATAATTAGGAGAAAAATACATTAAATTGATAGAAATAACCGAATATACCAAAACAAATGTGTTTGTGAAGATAATTGTGAATGCCTCTCAAAAAAGGTTAAAATATGGGATCGGTAAAGTGATAAGCATTCAACGACACCAACTGATGAATTGACAATTCAGAACACATGGTGTAAGAACCAACACTAATACATTACAATAGTGTTTGATAGAAGTTTGATTTTACCAAATTTCTCACAATACTGAAGGTGGCGATCTGGCATTTTTTTAGCATCGATTTTCCGAGTTTTGCTGTGATATTTTTTTGCTGTTTCACGCAAGCCAGAACGAGAGCTCTTTATCATTCGCCTATTCATCAAGGGTCGTGTGATGTCAGTAATAATCGGCTTTCTTTTCCAGTTTTGCGCTAGGCAAATTCCTCAGATTAAATAATTCTCTAGGTATCCAACATTGGTTTTGGCTTCACGAGCTTTACTGGGAACACACTAGGTGAAGGAGCTCGGTCAAACATCCACACCAAACCACTATTGAAGACACCGTGCCGTACAACCATTGCAGCAACTGGTCGGCCTGAATCACGTACTTTTCGACGTGCTAGTCATCAACTTAGATGATCTATCTCGAATGATTGAGGGCATACTCGATTTAGTGAAACCATCATCGCATGGGCCAGTCCTTGGTTAACGGTTAATTGATGAGCCTTGGTTGTCCTTGACTTTGACAGGGATCGATGATTTTTTCGATATTCAGTGACCCAACCGTCGGATGATTTGGCTAAGGCTCGGTGAAATTTTACTAGTTCTACACGCTAATTTATCATGACTTGAAATGTCAGTCGACATCATGTGATGTGCAGCTTCATCAGAGCTCGGATTATTAACTTTCGCCAGAAGACCACAATAACAACATAATTGGTATAAGAAGGAGCAGACAGCGTATAATTAAACGGAAACAACTAAAAGATAGTAAGTCATATATTGTAAGTTAATAGTTCCAATGAAAGCTTACAGCAAAGTGAATAAAGAGATGAAAAAATAGGTGTATTTACTAATTTTGCTATAAAATATAAATGACAATAACCCAGTAATTCTAAATTTCCAATATTCGTCCAGTAATAGTAGTATGCTTCCTCTAAATTGACATCCTACTAGTAGTCGCTACATAACAGATTAGGTAGTTATGTAATGGCATTGAACCATATACGCACGACCTTTGAAGTAGAGCATATAATTACTGAAAATATTTATTTTCAACAATTGATACAAAGAGAAGGTTAACAATGGAGAACGCGTCAAAATTCAAGTGAATTCAGTCGAAAGACATGGATCATTCCGTACAACCTGTGTTTATTCATTTTAAATATATTGTTCTATCTTCAGCCTAAATGCGTGCTTTAAAAGCATCCTATTGCTAACTGTCACGATACGACAAGTAATTGTAGACAGCGATGTGACTTCCACGTAAGAGCTTATAGATTAGGTAGCCACATCATGATAAATCTACAATTTTAGGATTACATCTTTTAGAGCAGTACTAATAACGAAGTAGATCATAATTCTACAGTTACACGATGGAAAACGTAAAATTTGGTTAGCGGATCTATCATTCTGACAGCATGGATAAGTGCACTAATACCAACGTAGACCGAAACCTAATATAAGAGGGACCAACCAAAGAAACATTATTCTTGACTCTAACGATTGATCATTATTTGTGGTAACCCATTTTTCTGTTAGTCTATTGATTAGTGCTCATATGTGTAGATTACTATTTATAGTCACCTTACTAGTTCTATCGGTACTAATAACTTATCCACCGTAGCTATGATTAGCTAATATGGTCCATTAACAGGCTTTATTAGCATTTGCATAACTCAGTGAAGTTTGCTAAACAGTTAACTACTAGAAAGCATGGGGCTTACACTGTGACACATGCTACTTAGATTGACAGATATAAATAGTACATAACGCCGACAAACTGCAAGCATGTCAACGGAATACTAAGATCGGATCGACGACAACAGGGACGTAAACAGGGAGTAATTGCAGTAGCAACATGAATGAAGGAACGACGAAGTTTACCAGAGACAACTGATGGAAGATATGCATTGAATATATGGTATTCATATTTTACGAGGACACTGTAGTTTTACTTTTAACAACAAATTTTTCCCCACGGGTCAATTTAAATTCTCATGGGCTGGCAACTGATGTGAGCAAGGACTGAATAGTCATCTTAATCTGATTCTTCGTCTTGTTTATTCACTCAACGCTTTACTCTATTTTAAACCATGGACCATCCCTTAATATCTTTTCTTTTGACCACCGCCTGTTTAATTTTTAATTCCCGAATCGCATCACCAAAAAACAGACAATATTTCAGGGACGTACGACTGTTCATACGGCCAGTATCATGTATTTATCTGGACTCTTTTTGGATGTGCACTGAATAAATCAATTAACAGAGGCAATAGCATTATGTACATTAAAGAATTAGTTGCAGTACTCCGTACTTAATCTGCCCCTTTCTGACTTAAGTCATTTATCATATCCAGGTTTTTATACATCAAATCTGCTGGATGCTCTGAATCCTCTAAACATTTCAGCATGTTTCACTATTTCACCAGATGATTTATCATGTTTACGATACTTCAGAACTTGCATAAATTTTCACTTAGACTAGTCATATTTATTAATTTTCATGAATATTACTACCGAACCCGTTTCTGACATGAGACATACATTCAAGATGCTAGCAAGTCCAATGAGTTTAAGACTGCTGTGAGCAACCAGTCCAAAGCCTTCAAGATCCACCTAAAGAAGAGAAGACCGTTATGAAGAACAACCATAAAATGAATTAGAGAAGCAGACATCAGATGTCAGGGGGTGTTGAGACACAAGAAGCACCAGCATTAATAGCGGATATCTATAGTTACCTAGGGTAAGACTCAGTAACGGGAGAACAGGAAGACGGCAATCAACAATAGCCGAATAAATGTAGAGAAAGTCAAGGGACACATCGAATGCGCATAAATATCCAAGCGAGTGAAAAGGAGCATTAGAGATGATATGTGGAAATACATGGAAGACTTGGGAATGACGGCGAAAAAGGCTGAAATAGAAGGGAATATGAGGTAGCTACACGACACAACGCGGAAGCTCGCTGGAAAATTTGGTTGAATAGAGTTGTCAGTCAGTAACAGGTATGGCAAAGCAATCACTGAGATCTAAGGGCAGAGGAATAGACAGTAGGATAATTCAAAGGGGTCCTGAATAGACTAGCCCCACTGAATCCATAGTACATCGAAACAGAATACACAGACGTTTATATAAATGTCGACAAACCAGCTATCGACGGAGTCGGATATGTCACCAAACAAATGAATGTGACAAATCAGTATGACCAGACATCGCAACAACTGAAGCACTGAAGCAAAGCAGAAGTAACTCAGCAGATACTTCAAGTTCTCTTCAGAACGATTTGACAGGAAGGACTTTTACAAAGAGAATAATCAAGATGCCGATGACAGGTTTTGGCAAATGCGAGAACTACATGGATATCACACTACAGTCAGTACCGAACAGTGTTCAACAGTGTTCTTGAATTGAATGAAAGGTTAAGAAGACGATCGACCTTGAAGCCAACAAGATGACTTTCGTCAGGATCCACCACGAACCCATCAAATCTCGACATTTTTTATCATTGTTGAACAAACTGCTGGACAGCACTCGTCTCTGTGCTAACTTCCTCGACTACGAGAAGCGGTTGACAAAGTGAATAGAAATCTTCCGAAGCATTAGAGAGTACCTGAGAAGGTCTTCACCACCATACGAAATTCTGACATTTTAAATTCGTTCATGTAGAGCAATTTACAAAGTCATTCAGAATGAAGGCTATTGTCAGACGAGACTGTGTACTTTACTGGTTCTGGGATAAATCGTGATGGCCTCTACATCTACACCTAGCTGGACGATTTGGATTTTACAGATGATCTACTTCAACAAATTAAGATGAAGGCACCCAGGGTGACAAATAGCCTTTGTGGCAGTATATTTCAACATTCACAAGGGAAGCCAAATCTTGAAATACAGTACACTGAAATCCAACCACATTGCATTCGGTGGTGATGCTCTGAAAGAAATAGAAGCCATAACATACCCAAGCAGCACTAATGATATCCAAAGAGGACTTCTACGGATGTTTAAGTAGGAACTAGTGAGTCAAGAGCGACAATCAAATAAATGAATAATATCTAGGACTCGATACGAGTGTAACACGACTCCGAGGATAAGATTTTCAAGCTTATAATTAAAGCAGTTCTTTTGCATAGAGCTGTAACTTGTAGAACCACCGCGACCATTATCGAAAACGTACGGGTATTTATACACATTTATGCTCGCAAGATACTCAATGTCTGTTGGTCGGATGCCCTCAGTAATAACCTACTGTGGTAGCGAACAAACTGGTTTCCAGCTGGATAGGAGATTAGAGGAAGATCTTGGGCATGGGCATGACATCTTACTTACGCCTGTTACTCCCAATATAACATAGGCCACCGAACAACATTCTCCAACCCACTCTGCTCTGGGCCTTCCTTTCTATTTCTATCCAACTGTTGGTTATCCTTCTAAAGTCTGTCTCTATTTCTCGGCGTGTTGTGTCCTTTGGTCCTCCTCTTCTCCTTTGACCCTAAGGATTACAAGTGAGGGCTTACCTTATAGTGCAGTTGGGTGCTTTCTTCAATGTCTCCTATC